GAATAATAATTTAAAAAATACGGGAGATGTTCCCAATATATGGTAGGATGTGCGTGTGAGAAGGTTTAACAGATTTACATGTATGAAGGTTTGAAATGCATGAATATGAAAAATGATGTTTTTTCCTTATAAGTAGAATTACCGGTTTTTCCAATAAATTGGATACAACTAAAAATAAAAAGTTACTACTTATTTTTGGTGTTTTACCGTTCAGTCCACCTTTAAGGTGGAGCTACTAGTAGACTAGGGGTGGACTGAATCCTGCCCATAGATTGATGCCAAATTTATGGGCAGGATGTAGTTTATAGGGGGAGGGGGGGCTATTAGTAGACTAGGAGGGATCTGCAAATTAGATTTCTATGGGGGATTGTAGTCCAAAAAATCCCTTTATTTTTTCTCTTATATTTTGCACGATTTTTAAATAATGGTAGAAAAGAACCATGTAATGGATCTATTAGACCTATTTAGTTTATTTGGAGATTGACCGGTGAGCATTAAAACTTTGTCACAGGTTAGCTGTCAGAGGTTGTTGTGCGCATGAGTCTGAGAGCGGAACTAGACGAGTGTTTCCATATCGGTCTTAGTACAGGGAAGGAAAGCTAGACGAGTGTTTCCATATCGGTCTAAGTACAGGAAGGAGAGAGAGGTCAAAGAGGAGGATGGAAGGTTAATTGTCACTGGTTTGTGTAGAGAAGATGGTTCGCCCGAAAGGGTATTTTGGATATAATTTAAAATTAAATCAAACACGTGAAGTGACGTACAAACGACCTATGATGAAGATTTAATGGAAAGGAAGTTGTGCATAATTATCAGAAACAGTAGAGTACTTTAAGACAATACTGAAACAATAGGGATATAGTTAGTCAATTTCCTAAACCTTAGGGATAGTTTAAGAAACTTATCCTTGAACATTTTATGGTTTTTAAATATTAGAAATATTTTAAATAACATTTGAAGTGACCACGTTTTAGGAATTAGGTTGCTGCTACCTATGTGAATTTTACTATTTCTTTGAAAGTGGAGTTTAACCACTCTCACTTTAATCGTACTAAATTTCCTCTGTGAAATTATTATTATTTTTTTTTTCTGTTTAACTTTACCGTGTAGTCCTTCTCCGTAAGATGTTCGCAATCCATGATTTGAAAATAAAAGGGATTCCTCTTGGTAAGAACTGCATCGCTTAGTTTCCAATGGTAAATAAGAATCAAAGTTTTAAGAAGTACAGTTACTTTGAAATCGAGAAAATGCGAGATGATGATAGAGATATCGGGAGAATGACGGTTCAGCCCAGGGTCAAAATTTTTAGGCCTAAGGTACATTTGGGGTAAGTGTCAGCTAGACCTGTTCATGGGCCGGCCCGGCCCGGCCTGACTCCCGGACGGGCTTGAATAGGATTTTTGGCCCGCGGGCTTAACCTCAGGCCAAAAAGCTCGGCCCACATAAAATTCAAGCCGGGCTCGGGCTTTGCTAAAATAGCCCGGCCCGAGCCCGGCCCGGCCCGACTTATAGTTAAACTTAAGTAAATCCGGCCCGACCTATAGTTAAACCTAAGTAAAAACCCTATGTGATGTCTATTTGAATAAATTTTTTGATTTGAGGTCATTGATTCACTTGTAGATCCATTGTTCATTTAAATAGGGGAAAAAACATTTAAATTAAAATAGAAAATGTCTGAAAATTTTGAATTTCTTTTATTAGATCGGGCTTCGGGCTTGGGCTCGGGCTTCGGGCTTTTCATCAGGGCCGGGCTCGGGCCCAAATTGTAGGCTCGTTGGTCGGGCCGGGCTCGGGCTCGGGCCTAACAGTTTTCTGTTAATAAAGAGTCAAAGCCCGGCCCGACCCGGCCTGGCCCATGAATAGGTCTAGTGTCAGCTTGGAATTGAAGCCAATTTACAGGCGGGCATTGGTGTGTATATAGTGGGGGTATTTGACATTTTGAATGTTTAAAGTTCTGCAATGGGATCCAGAAATCTGCAATGGGCCTGTCCGTATTTCTCCGGAAGATATTTGAAAGTGTGAGAGAGATTAGTACGGTCACCATCTCCGACCGATTGGGATGGAATTAGTTTATTCGGCATCTCAAATCTTTATTAAGGCTCCGTTTGTTTGTGATACAAATGCCGAACTTGGGTATTTATGTACTCCGATTCGCGTTTGCGAGCATTTGTTTGATATGTAAAAAAGTAATGATTATTGGACCAAAAATTTATTTTCTGACACTTTTGTATTCTAAGAAGAGAGTATTACTGTACCTATGTTTTGAATACAATTTTGTGTTCTTTCGATAATTAACTTTTTTAACCAAATTAAAGTATTGGAGCATAAGATAGAGCATTTAATAATGAATCCACACTTTGCATCCCTTTCAAACAAATAAGATAAGTACAAAAATGATTTAAAATATAAATCTTATTTACATTCATAAACCGAAAAAAGGCAAATATGCAATATACATATTTGCGTTTGCATTAACCATGGTTATGCAGCCTTAAAGGACCAAAGCACCGAGGTTTTGAAGTAATTGAGAGAACGGCCTTGATCGGAGCCTGGAGGTTTACTGCGTCAAATAGGCTACAGTACAGGCTAGTCTCTCTCAACTCTCATTCCTTTTCCACCTCGAACACTGAAAATTGATTGTCGTCCTCTCGTCGATGTTACCGAATACTGAGTGTCGCTTTCTATTCCGACTTCAATTGGCAGTGTCGTAAGGGAATCGCTGGAGAAGAACCGTGACTTACGACGTCAGTGTGGAAGGGGCAGGAGGAGACCCGATAAAACGAGTTCACATCTCTGCCCCACAGCACATTCTATTGGGAACATCTCCCGATGCTGATATCATCAGATCAGGTATTATCATAGGGAGAGATATTCTTAATACATGGCGGGAATGCATTGTGGGGCGGAGATGTGAACTCCGACAGAATACATTGATTGCTTGTTCTGTAGTGGTGCAAATAGATCAGATCATGATCCTATCCAATCTGAATCCAATCTTATATTCTCGGATTTGGATCACTTCTCTATTAAATTTGATATATTATTTATTTATTTATTTATATAAATATATATATATATATATATATATGTTATTTATTTATTTATAAATATATTATTTATATGGTATTTTTATAAATTTGTTATATTATTTATTTTTTTATAAAAAAATATTTGAAAAGATATTTGTATTTTTTGTTTTTATTTATTTAAATTGTTATATTTTATTTTTTAATAATTTATTTATCTTTTTATAAATTAAATTGGATCGAATCATATCCGAAGATCCAAATGCCTCATCAGATTTGAATTCAAATTCATGTTTATGAGATCAGATTGGATCAACAATTAATAGTATTGCATCGGATTCGGATATACCCAAATTCGAATTTGATCCGATCCATTAGTATGCCTACTGTTCTGGTTTTGAGTTTTATGTTTTAAGACCCGTGCAATGCATGGGCTTTGTTAAATTTGTATTAATTTTCATTATTTTTTTAACAAAAAAAAATATTACTTTTTTTGTTAAATCTCTCTCACTCTCTCTTGATATATAGTGAAGTTTGAAGAAGTAAGTTAACCACCGACTCTTTTTTTATAGTGGATAGACTTTTTATGTGGTTTTTTTTTTGATTAGTAGCCACGTTTGAATCACCTCAAATAGTTATTCTATTTAAGAGTGGAGATAACAACTTTTGAAATCATATTTTCTCAAAAATTGGAGTGTCACGTGTCTGAAGGAGAAGGACTGTTGCCTGACCACATTCCTTTAATATATTATACTAGTAAAGGAGGCCCATGCTGAACACTCGCAAATGGGAAGGCAAAGAAACAATTTTGAATAGATTTTTATTGAATAATTGAGAGATTAAAAATGAAGGAAAAACTTAATATAAGTAATTTAAAAACTAATTAAATTTTTAGCTTCTATTAGTTTATGATTCGAAAAAAAATACTGGTAATGTATCTCTTCAATATTATAAAACTAAAAAACAGTTTCAAAATCTGATGCTTAAATCCTTAGAAATTGATAAATCATTATGCTCAACATAATAATTGTACTTAACACAAAAAATCATTAAAATGTCTTTAGCACAATATTTCTTCCCCACCCAAATTGAAGAAAAAAGAATTTCATTACAATAAACGAACATCGTAAGTTTTTGAAATATAACATGCAACAATCAACCTCACTTAATTTTCCTTCATGAATTAGTTAAAGCCAAAAGGCAAACTTTTCCGCCATACCAACAGGTTTTAACAGGCTCCTTCATTTCATGTACTGCCTTGTGACAATAATTTCACATTTCTGAAGTATCCCTAATAATAAATATAATAGAAATGAAATAGAGGAAAATCCTGACAAAAACAGACCACACCAACTAGAAAAGTCAAGACATTAAGGATAGAATAGACAAGAAAACATCAAGATGGGGTGTTCAATGGCCAAACCAATGACTCCATCAAATTCCAACATCAGCTTCAGCCATTAGGGAGCTCACGACCTATAACTTATTTGCTAAAAGACAAAGTCACAAGTCATACAATTCAGCCTTAAATTTGACATGAATCCAATAAATCAGCTTTTTTCTTTTTTTTAATTAGGCCTTCACTTGAACTCCTGAAGGTTTAAGATGCATCATTTTTGTATCTAATCCTACAAGTAATCGGTAATTAGATGTGAATTCGAGCCGAATCAAGCTGAATAACATGAGGCTCGAGCTCGAGTTTGATTCGAACTAGAACATTAAGCTCGAACTCGGTTCGTTGCCACTCATAAGCAAAGCTTTTAATATATGTATCACGAAACATTGTAACCTGTCTACAGCCAATACCATGCTATTCTTTGAATCATAGAAAGTAACACCTAAGTCCACATTCTTGTATATACAGTGGAGATGGCCTCAAGTCAACTACTTACCACTTTGACTCCTTGGGTCTAGCTGATTAACAACACCAACAGTAAAAGACTAGATCAGAAACCAAAAATAACAAGACAAAGGGAGTTGAAGAATATGTCAAATGATTAAAGATAAAATGAAACAAATATTAAAGGTATGAATTACTAGATTGCAATAAGAAAATGTTAGAAATCCGAGCTTATACTCAATTCTTTGTAGGCGCCCACAGAAACTCTTACCCTAGATCATTAAAAAAGAAAAAGCACAAAATATAGACAACTATATTCTATATATAGTTATTTTCTTTTGAGATGTCTCCGAGAATGATTTACAAGTGGAACAGAGTGAATCCAATCGACTCTACCGAGATTTCCGTTGACAACTTCAGCAGAAACTGGTAAGCACTTAACAATCCAACCAATGGGCCAAGATAAGATTGCAATTCCAATACATGCACTCCATTGCCCCCAATTCAACCTCTCTGTGTTGGCAAATTTATTTACAGTCTCCACCATCACCACTTGAAGAACAAGAGTGATCCCAACAACCACCAAAAACCACTCATTCTTCTCTATCCCCTTAAATATGTTCCTATTCTCCAAATTCCTTGCATTGAAGAGATTAAAGATTTGACAGAGAACGAAAGTATTGAACACCAGGGTCTCCTTGATCTTCTCGCTCACCCCAAATATATATCTTCCCTTCAAGTGCAGAGTCAATAAGATGGTCACCTGAAACAGAACCTGGGCGATAAGATTTCTCTTCATGATGTTGGAGATAAGCGGTTTGGTTCGACCAAATGGTGACTTCTTCATGAGATCGTTGGTGGGTTGATCTGTGGCTAGAGCCAATGCCCCAAATATATCCATAATCAGATTCACCCATAGCAGCTGGACTGCTGTTAAGGGAACTTCACCGCAAGAGATCGCTGTGACAAAGTTGATCGCCAGTGCCACAACATTCACAGTGAGCTGGAACTGAAGGAACTTCTGAATGTTGTTGAAAATACACCTGCCCCACCTCAGACCTTCCTTTATAGAAGCGAAATCACCGTTCAAGATGATGATATTTGAGCTCTCGTTTTCCATTTGAATGCCTTCAATCCCCATGGTTAGTCCAATGTCAGCTTCTGCTAATGCTGGCGCATCATTTTTGTCATCTCCTGTGACTGCAACTACATGACCTTTTTGCTTCAAGCATCGCACCATCAGAAGTTTGTCAGATGGGGAGGACCTTGCCATTACCCTTATTCTATCAACCTTATCCATCATTTCTTCTGGTGAGTACTTTCGAAATTCCACCCCTTCCACCACTGTTTCATCATTCAACTTCTCATCAGGTTCAAGTATTCCACAGTCTCTGGCTATAACTTTTGCAGTGAAAACATCTTCCCTAGTGATCAATTTGACACCCACTCCAGCATCTCTACAAGCCTTTACTGCCTTTGTCACTTCATGTGGACAGTTGTACTTCAGACCCACCAGGCCTAACAGGGYCGGGCCCTCAGCTTGTAGCTTGTGACCAACCATTTCATCTTGGTCTTCTAGATCTGGGATTTGTTTGTGGATGAAAGCAACGCGCTGGAGTCCATTACTTGCCATAGCTTCAATTATTTGCTCCAACTCCATCCTTTTGCCTTCATCCATGGGTTGAATGGTGCCATTTTTCTCATAATAACTTGATAAGCTTTTGATTATTTCCTTGGCATCCTCATTCCAGTGAATGCCGAATGTTTTCTTATCATAGATCTTCTGCCTAATTAGGTATTCTTCACTCATACCCAATTTGAACATAGCCCAGGAGAGAATGGCTTTGTTAGCTGGGCTACCATACAAATACTGGCATGTTCTTGAAGTAGCTCTGACTCTGAGAACTTCTGCAACAACATTGAGCCCAATTCCTTGCCTCAGCAATTCGATTACATTGGGTGCTACTTTATCAAAATGCAAAGAGGAGTCATCCATTGCTTCTCCACCAAGCCAAAACTCTGCTACTGTCATTGTATTCGAAGTCAATGTGCCGATTGCATTTGTGCAGATGGTGGTGACTGAACCCATATCCTCAATGGCTGAAAGTTTCTGAACCATGATCTTTTTCCTGTGATCCTTATTTCCCCTCATCCTGTCCATGGAGTGAGCAAGAGTATTCTTGATAAGCAAGGGTAAGCCTTCTGGAATTGCCACCACCACGATTGCAACTGTTGCATTTACAGATACAAATCCCCTAATGCTTGACAATTCATTAATCAGATTGTTGGTCTTAGAGTTGCATCCATCATCTTCTGTGTTCCTCACCAAGTCAAGCATCAGAATCCCCACAAGAGAAAGGAAGGGGATCGCCAGAAAGAACTTGGATAAAGAGGAAGTCAACTTATTCACCCGTTCTTGTAGTGGGGTCTGATGGCTACGTTCATTCCTGTAATGGCTCATTGAGACTGAGTTCATCATCATCTGGCCACAGCCTGTGTTGGTTCCAACAGAGATGACGAGCATGCGACCAGATCCTTCCACGACTGTGGTACCGGATAGCAGGAACGGGTTCTTGCTGCAATTTACTTGCACATGGTCATGACTCTTCCCAGTTATGCTAGACTCGTTCACCTGTAACGAACAGCCATCCAGAAACAAGCCATCTGCCAGAATTTGATCACCGAACTTCAGACTGACCACATCTCCGACTACCATGTCGACGAAAGGAACGCTTCTCCGGCATCCGTCTCTCACGACCTCAACCCTGATGTTGCTGAGGGTCGACGACCTCTCTAGTTGTCTTGAGAGCCTGAAGTTGCTCGCCATAGACAAGGCGACAACTAGAAAGACAGCAAATAGAACACTCCCACCATCGTACCATCCCTCCTTCAGCCCGTGTGCTTTGATTCCAAACCCAAGAGAAAGACAAGCTGAGGCCAAGCTGATGGCGTTACTACTGTCCGTGAAAGTTTCCAAGAAGAAATGAAATAAGCCCTTTGGGCTTGGGGGTGGTTGCTTATTCGAACCAAACACGACGCGGCGGCTCTCAACATCGGCAGCACAGCCATGGATCCCACTCACTGCATCACTAGCAAGAGCGAGGACAACTCCTTCAACTCCTCCATAGTGTTGTTTTAAAAGGTCTAAGTCCTTCTGTTTAACAATTTCGATCAGGGTTGGCTGGTCAACGTCGGAGAAGCGTAACCCATCACAACCGTGATCGTCAATATTGATGGAAACTTGGGATGGTAAGCTTGAGATCCCCTCAAGGAGATGGCGAGATTGAGATTCCGGCGAAGAGCTTGAGCTTGAGCTTGAGGTTCCAGTGCTGAGGAAAATTTCTGAAGATGAGCGAGAGGTCCCAATAAGGGGCTGCTCCTGCTCATACCTACTGTCATGGTTGGTTTCGGCAGGCAAGGAGATGTAAGACTCTGTTGTAGAGACCCCAGAGAGAAGTTGGTCCTGTCTATCGGCATGGTAGCTGGGTTCACTATGGTCCTCGTCGTTGTTGGGTTTGGGATAAAGAGAGATTTCAGACGATGAGAGTGGAATTCCGGATAGGAGAGGTGCCTCCTCATGCTCATAAGGCTCCTCCTCCTCCTCCTCCTCCTCCTCCTCCTCATCTTCATCGTTGGGTTCAGCACAAAGTGGGGCGAAAGAGAATGAGGATTCTAGCCTAAGCTCATCTCTCAGTTGCCTAGTAATCTCTCGCTTACTCTTTCCACTACGATGCCGATCCATCCACGACTGTTCCTTGCCATCACGGGGCCAAACTATCTTTCCGTCACGCCGCCGGAGAGGTCGCTGCTTGCTGTTGCGTCGCCGATCTACTGACAGAGGCTTCTCCTTGCCTTTCCGCGTGCGAACTCTTGATTCCTCCATCTTCACGATCCAATAACTGTAACTTGGGAACTAAACGTTGAAATTTACAACAGACGATGTGCTATCATTTATCCCTCATTTGTTTCGATCTTTTCTCATTCATTTTCAGCGATATTATCTTGGTTGCCTGGCCCACCCATATCACCCATCTGATCTGGTCACTAGTGTGTCCAGCAAATTCGTTTTGGTGTATGACTTTCAAAGCTGTCCATCAAATTTGTTTGAAAGAATGACCAACCAACCCAGATCAGAATTTTATAGCCTAAAGTATAGGGGAATGCATGCTGACCGTGAATTGATGTTAAATTCACGGGCAGGATGTGGTTTATAGGGGGAGAGGATTAATAATAGGGGGGCTACAATTTAGAATTTTGCATCGTGTGTATCTGTACTTCTTCGAATTTGTTTTGGTGTATAACTTTCAAAGCTGACTACACCTGTTTGACTTTCAAATGCGTCTGCAGTCTTCAAGAATCAAGAGCCACAGCAAGAGGGGTCCCACATATTTAACATAAGAATAATTAATAAGACAGTGCCCACACTTTCCATATATTTGCATCAATGAAATTAAGTTTCGTCTGTCTCTTTTTCAAGTTGTTATGGAATTTGTGGTTAGTGGTTACTTCACTTGCATCGCAAATTTGCAATCAACGGTTTTCGACCCGGTTAAAAGTTGAAACTTATACAGATCTACTACGGATGCGGTATCTTATTATGGACTTTGGTGCCCTTAAAACCGTCCCAATCCGGAGTTCGGATCTCCTACCCACACCTACCTATATATGTGATCAGGGCCACACATGCGATATCTTATTATGCATGTAGAGATATTCCCAATGCATGGAGGTGGGTAGGGATACATCTTGTAGGTAGGAGGTTCAGAGTCCTCAATTGGAGCCAGAGGTCCCATCAATTGAACCACCATATTCCATTTGGTCCGTTGTAATTTACATTGAACAAGGGATTTAAAAGAAATGTTTCCAGTCTTCTCAATGTGGGGAACAAATAACTCATACAAGAGCTTTACCAAGATGGTCAATTAATTCCTACTTGGGCTCAAAGGTTCAAATATAAAATTTTGATGAAAAAGAAGCTAAAAATAAAATGAAGCATAAGGTTTGAAGTATCAATTCACCTCTTCAAACATCAGGGTGTATCAATATTTTAATTCTTCGTTCGATTGTATTTCTATCAAAGAGCATGGCTGAAATTGAGAGTCCGCGTTCTGCGCACCTATGGGTGCATTGGACAAGTGCATCCACCAATGATAGACGAACACCTCATCTCATCAGTCTTAATTGTGAATTAATGGAGACTTTCTCCGCTATCAGTGATTCAGCTGGTTGAATCGGCGACAACTAAACATGATTTGGCTTTCCCATTCATGTTAGAATTCGACTCAAACCCCTTTTGTCTTCCGAACCTAACCACGTTACCAAATCATTGACAACCAACACCAACCGACGCCGGCAGTAAAAGATCAACGGTAATCAACGGTAAATTGTTGATCTTCCTCCTCCTTCCCTGCAAACTCAGTGAAGAAGATAACTTATGATGCAATATATGAAGATTTTTTGCTTTCACGAAATGTTGAAATTTCTCTTACAATATTGCCCATATTGCCGTAAGCTATTAAAGTTGTCATTTTTTATTATCCGTTGAAAATTTATCACCTAAATTAAACTACAATATTGCCCTAAATTTATCACCTACAATATTGCGCTAATCAACCCTTTCTCAAATCAAAAGTTTATCACCTAAATCAGAGCATTTCTTTGATTATGAGATATATTCAGAGCATTCAAATAACATCACATCAACTGTTTTTTTATTCAAACAACGGTGTGTTCATATTTCATTTGGCATGACCCCAGCGGTCACAAAAGTTATTAACTCACCGCATTCAAATTTGATTAGTTAGTTAACATTTGAATTTAAATCGTAATTTACATCAAATAGCATTGGTAAATTAAATTAAAATTAATAAAATATTAAAGGGAAATCTATAGACTAACTCTATCCCTACAATTTATAAAATCCTTAGAAGTATCACACGTTATACCATGTAAATTATTATATAATTTTCGTAAATCCAGTATGAGACAGACTGATTCAGACTAAAAGTTATTCTGATAAAAGAATTAAAAATTATTTTGTTATTCTATATGATGAACGAAACAAATAAAAAATAACTACATAAAACTTGAACTTGAACCCATGATTCATTAAATATAATATTTAAACCAATTTTACTAATAGAAATAATATTAATTTTAATATATAAAAACTTGTATAATGAATCAATGGAGTGTTTAAAACAGAACAAATTAAAATGAATAACATATAAAAAAAGATATATAGAATAAAAAATATCCGCTTTCTAGTGAGATAAAAAGTGAACACCCCTTTCTTAACGGGTTCACATGTGCTGTAACTCCCAAATAGTGGTCCAAATTGGCAGGCTGGGCCAGGTTTAAGCTCAACTCAGGCCCAACCCTAAGAATTGGGCCTAAGGCCTAACTTGAGGTTAAGTCTAAATTGTCTAATCTAAGCCTGACCTGAATTGAAATTTGATGCATTCAGGTTGGACTCGGATCTAGACCTAGTTCGGATGGGTCAATCAATCTATACTAAAATTTAATGTAAATGTATGTATATACGTATGTATGTATGTGTGTGTGTGATTTATCAAAAAAATATATATTTGTATATGCATATATGTATGTACATAGGCAGACTGAGTTAGGATTAGAATAAGATAGGATTGAGCTCAGACTAGGTTTGGGCTACCTAAGAGTTAGACTCAAACTTGGCCTGAAAGGATCAAAAATCTAAACTCAAGCCTGTATAATATTATGGTCTGGATCGATTTGGACTCGAGTTGGGCCTGCCTAAGTGCACCTCTACCCCCAAATACTAACCCGGTTTGTACGAACTCAGTGCTGAGGTGATTGTGCTTCATCTGGGTTGCCTTTGAGTGTTGAAACTGAGACTCACCGGATGTTATCACTCTTCTAGTACTACTACTACTACTACTAATCCGTTGGCAATTTGGCATAAGGGGCCGCATGCCAATATTTTCTACAGATATGCATTGCACTCGAGCTCTCTAAGCAAATTGAAAAATATCAAAATTGGTTGAAATGCTTTGATCAAATTTATTTAACAGCTGAGGGCAAAGGTTCAAAGTATCGATATGTATCAAATTGATATATATCATATTAGAGGCTTTTCATATATTCCTATAGGAAGTGTTTCAGGTCAGACAGTGATTCAAGGGGTAGATCAGTCTTAAACTGACCCCTCTAAACTAGATTCGAAAAAAATAAAATAAAAACACATGCATCAATTTCTTACGAATCAAAAGATAATTTTGGTAAAATGTACTATGAGCATTCTGGTTGAATGAATTGGCCCTCAATAAGACCTAAAAAAGGTAAAAGGATTAAAATATTAGCAACAGCGTGACTTCTCCTCTGGTCTGGTGTCCATCTTATTTTATATTTTTAATAGCTTGAAGAGTTCTTGATGTTCTTTATTATTTTATTATTGGGGCCTGTGTCATGCAAGGGAAAACCAGATATAGTGGTTAAATGGAGATGTAAATCATTACGTCATTTGCCCATAAAAAAGAGATAGGAAACATATTTTCAATCAACTCCTTAAAATTCAAAAACGTGTTGGGAAAAAGACTATATCAGTCAAAGCAAAGAGAATAAATAGATAGAGATATTTTAGGTGAAAGAGATTTTTGAAATTGATTGGGGGAGTGGGGTAAATGATATGTGGTTAAGATGAGATATTTTAGGAGAGAGAGATTTTAGAAATATTCTTAGTTAATTGGGTTGGGAATAGATAAGGTGAACTTACTGATTTGTCTTAATGGGAGGACTGAAAAGGGGAAATGAGACAGAGTTAAGGAGAAAGCAATAAAGGGGGTTTAAAGAAAGGAGAGGCATAATAACATGGACTTGATCATAATTTTTAACCAACAGGTTGCCTGGTAATTTGCTGATAAACTATTAATATTTTTTTTGGTGATATCTTCTCAAATTTTATTGTATTTCTTATAAAATGACAATTTTAGACATTATATACACAATCTATATCTATTATTATATATTAAAACAAAGATGGCCATGTCAAATGGCCTCTCCTCCTCCATAATTACCCCAATGGAGGCTACTCATTCATTGCTTTTCTCTCTTCTTTATGCCCTTTCTAGCTTTGTCAATTTGCCACATGGACTCTTTTAATTAACTTTTCTATTAATTCCCACTTCCCAATTACTAATACTGCGTTTGGTAGAAGTGTAAAATCGAACTGGGGTAAACTTTATACCCCGGTTCGATTTGCAGGCATTTGGTAAACATGTAATTTTACACCGAATTACATTTTACCAACGAATTACATCGATAATCGATGTATCGATGTATTTATTACATTGCTCTCTTTCTCTCTCTTCTCGTTCTCTTCTTCTTCTCCTTCTCACTGGCTCGCTTGCTCTTTCTCTCTCGCTTCTCCTTCTCTCTTCTTCTTCTTCTTCTCCTTCTCTCTTTTTCTTCTTCCTCCCTTTTATTCTCTTTCCATCACCGCCGTTGCAACCAGTTGTAGTGGCAGATCTGAACCCACCTCCGCCTTCCACCTCTCTCTCTCTCTCTCCATCGCTAACTGATGCTCCTCTGTCTGACTACGTAAACCCTAACGGTTTCTAGACTGGGTGCAGCTCTGTGTGTGGCAGTATCGCCAATGTGATCTATGGATCTTGCTCCAGCATCGGGTGTTGCCAGACGTCCATTCCTCGGGGTCTTGATACGTTTCAAGTAAAACTCCAAAGCAACAGCTCTGACGACTCCAATTGTAGCTATGCCTTCCTGGTTGAGGATGAATGGTTGAGTTTCATGGAATCAGATATATGGAATTTTACAAGGAGAGTGCCATATAAGTTTGGGAACCAGACGGGAACTCCTGTGGTGTTGGAATGGGCGATTGGGAACCAACCTGCGGAGATCCAAGCCTATAGGTGAACTATGCCTGTGGAAACAACACTGAATGCATTAACTCCATCGACGGCAGCAGATATCTGTGTCGTTGCAAGAATGACTACGATGGCAACCCTTATCTGCCACAAGGATGCCAAGGTATAGTAAAGCATATATAGAAGATTGTGTGTACCCAGTTATTTATTGATTGATTGATGACTTATTGGTTATTAGATACTGACTATGCTAGCCTTTTATACTTAATTGTTGCTTGAAGACACTAAGGAGGAGAAGGAGAACGACAGGAACCAGAAAACAACTCCCTCCAT